TTTGGTATTAAACCCCCAGCAGAGGACTACTGAGATAGCTAGGGGACTGGAGTGCCTCTCATATGAGGAAAGGTTGAGAGAGCTGGACTCTTCATCCTGGAGAAGAAAAGACTGAGAGGGCAGTCTTGAATGAGGCAATCTTATCAATAAGTATATGAAGGGAAGGTGTAAAGAGGATTAGGCCAGACTGTTTTCCGTGGTGCCTATCAATATGGTGAGAGACAATAGTCCTCAAAAAGCTGTTAGTAGAATTCTCCTGAGTTCAAAGGTAGAAGCAGAATCCTTGGCCCTGTTTCAGGCTCTGTAAAAGTAAAGCCATGTTTACCTCAGCTTTGTCTTAAGAAAGGATGCTGTCCTGTGTTGGAAAGTGCTGGTAGTTAAAATTTGCTGATCTCAAATTTTACCCACACTAAAATATTTACACTGTCACCTTTTTACTACAAGATAGATTTGCTTCTGAAGAGCCTCAGGGAAATTCTCTGTGAAAAAGAAATCACAAAGAATATATTCTAAAAAATATTAGAACAAAGTTTTCAGGTAATAGCTACCATCTTAGGCACTGAAGGAACAGCTAATATTGCCTACTCTCACCTTCTGTAAACATTATAGGTTGTGTTGTCAGTTATTTCAATGATTAATGCTTATACATATTCATATTCCTTGGGTAAAATTACATTATTTTAATCCATGTTTAGTCTTTCAGTAGAACTATAGTGATTCCCATCTAGAATGTAACTGCCTAAAAGATCATGAAACTTAACCCAATTTACCATTTTAATCTGTTTCAGAGGCCCTAAAAACTGGTCTTTTTCTTTCACTTTTGAAAAAGATGGTATGACCTCGGAGCAGATGTAGGATCAGCTTGAGAAATGCATGCAGCAGAAGGTTCTATTGTGCCATTTTTCTTGTAAGAATTTTTGAAGAATAGTTAATATAAACACCAAAATGCTCAGTCTTCAAGTGCCTGCAGGTTAAAACTGTGTATAAATGCCACGTGATAATTCACTCTCTTCTTTTTCTTTTAAAAAAGACGTCTGCTCTGCTTGTTTCTAAGCGGATAATGTAAATCATTATTTCTTTTACACTCATCCGACATAAATCATGGACACTGCAAATGCGTTAATTAGCATGAGTATGTTTTAAATGAAAATTTTGCTATTAAAATTTGAGTAAATGAATAATCAAATTTCTTTGTCAGAGCTCTGAACGATTTTGTGTTCACTAACAAATAAGAAGTCACACTTGATAATTCGAAAATTGTCACTGCTCTTTCATTTTACTGTGCATGCTTCTGAATTTGAAAAGAAGTACTCTTAGAAAGCACTGAAGTCTTCTAAAACAATTTGTTTCTAGAGGCTGAGATGACCTGAAAGTTTTGTTTCAGTTTTTCGTTACACCATTGAAATGTAATTTATTGTGTAAATGTTCTGAAGTAAGACTTCAACTGAAGTATTTTTCTTGTATTTTGTTTTCCATCATAATTTCTTTTATTTCTCTTTGTCAGCTTTGCTGTTTTCATCATGTGTGTGTATGCACATATTAGAATGTCAGTCCATGTATTCCTCTCCTTTTACTCTTTTTATGGCAGGCCAAAGTGATGGTCTATATTTTTAACAAAGAAAGCTTCTCTAAAAGCCCTTAGGCATTTGTAAGATATGCAGATATTCAAAAAGCAACATGTTGATGATGTATCACAGAAAGAAAACAATTTACAACCATGTTTAGTTAATAATACATAGGCCTATCACAAGTAAACAGGCCTAATTAAGTTAATGATTACACCCTCTGACAGGCCACTAGGAGAAGCTGTTTCCAAAGTTGAGGGTTGAAAGCCAACCAGGTATCCATCGTATCTAATAAGCATTGGTGTTACAATACCATTTTTCTCTTTCCTGCCATGGCTATTCAGAAAGATCTTAATTCTACAAAGTGCCAAGAGACCTCTGCAAACCACTGCAGACTGAAGACCTCTAAACATCAGAATATTTCTAGAGATACTCCACAACTTAAAAGATTGTATCAAGAGAGTAAAGATAGTCAATACCCATACCAAACCCTAAATCCACCATCTAATCCATTACCTTCTCAAGAGTAACACCACCAGGACTGTGATTTTGGAAGTTTGTCATAGTAAAAGTTTGGGGCTTTTTTTTTCAAAGTATCGTGGCTGACCACAAATCAAATTAAGTATTGGCAGCATTATTTAACAATGTCTACTGGTCAAACCACGACCTCCCCCATGAATTTAGTAGCGCTAGTTCAGGAGTTTGGGACATGTATTTATCTCAAATATCTTCTGATACGTAAGCCTGAGTGAATTAAGCTGAAATGTGACTAGAGACAACATTGTGTCTGTGCCAGTTAGACTGTGATTTAAGCAAACAATACAGGCTAAGTGAAATCCAATTGACAGAGCTCACAGAAAATGGAAAACTCACAAAAGTGAATAAGAGGCAGCTATTCTTTTCACTGTTTAGTTTTCATCTAGCTCTCTAATCCACAAAACGGTGGTGAAGAAGCAGGAGGAGGAAAGAAACATGAAGGAAAGGAAGATTCATTTTGCCTTCACTTTCTTGGGAATATAATGTTCAAGTGCTGTCATAGGTACAACAGTATGAAAACATGGTAGTTCTCATCTCAAGAGAGTCCATAGCTGAGTATTGGCTGAGTTCTTGAAAGAGTGGTCCCAGTCTTCAGTAGTGGTTTAGAATTGAACAATCAAGTCAAATCACTGTCTATAACATCTTGGATAGTAGTAAATATGTATTCTTTATTATTTTGTTTTTTGTTGCAAAATAGTTCTTGCATAGTTTCTGGGTAACCTTAGTCTTTATCATTCCACCAATTCCTTAGGAGATCTCTGCTTGTGTCTCATTTTCCTGGAAGGCACAATAAAAATAAATAAAAATAATCAGCTAAAAGCAGTGTTATTTTAGGTTATTCTGTCTTTAAAAGAATTAAATAAAAAGATCTAGAAGATGAAATGAGTGTGAATTTCAAAACCATTAATCTAATCTTTCCATCTAAGATCATCTCAGAGCCAATCTGTGAATGCTATTTTTTCTTGGAAGAAGATAGACATTCCCCAGAGGAGCAAGAAATGACCAGCAGTACAAAATGTGTCTCAGAACTGTGTTGAGAAAATAACAGTTTTTATGTTCTGCATGTTGCTATAAGGCTATCAGGAAGAAACAAAATAATGATTCAGTTTGTGCTGTTTCCTAAAAGCGTGTCCTGAAGAGATGAGCTTTTCATTGAAATAGATGGTACATTTTTCAAATCTGTTTTGTTCACTCTTTATTTTTCCTCCAGGATGCTTGATGCTCTCCAAACATTCATTGAAAATATATTTAACAATTTTGAAAATTTTAGGTGTTATCAGCATGGTTCTATATGACAGCAACCTCAATGAAGTGACAGTATGTAGTGACCCTAGTCCTAGTGCAGGTTGACAGATATGACATTCTACTGGCTCACCTTTCTCACTTATTGTTATCTGGACCCCTAGGTCTTTTCTGTCATATATATGACATGCCTCAGCGAAGTGTAATATGACAGACCTATTTACTTTATCACTCCAGAGCAAAATCTCTCCTGACAATGAAATCGGACAGTGAAATTTACTTAAATTTGAGCACGTTCCATCTGTCAGAAGGCTGAGGTAAAATGTCCTGGCATCCATCAAAAGAGGGAATAGAAGTTATTTGCTCTTTCACATCAAATTTACACAGTAGTATACTGATGTGCCTGGTTACACATATCTCCACCATATCAGATTTTTATTGTTGTCTTTGCAATAATTTAAAGAGTTCAGGCATGCTTTCCACCTTGACTTGACAGACCACAAATATAAGTGATTTAAGGGGTGAGAGAATTGTATAAGTCAAGACCAAGTGGCAACTTATGCCTCCTAGATTTAAGAATGTGGAGAAAAATATAGCAACAGTTTAGCAAACTGATATTGTCTTTGTCTGTACTGTCCTGATACATTAAATTCTAGATACAGTAAGATGTGATTTTGGAAGTTTTAGAGGAGGGACAAGGTGAATCCAAACTTAGTTTACTAAACTCAAATGGAATGAATAGTTGTTACCTAGTAAGTAATAGTTAGGAGAATAACTGAAAATTCTGTGTGTTTTTTTTTCAGCATGGCATATATGAGAAACTTGGGACTGTATGGTAAAGATAACATTGGGAAACATTTATTTTTCTTTATTTTTTTATATTATTTTAATACATAGACTTTAATAATGCATACAGGATAAGATTTTAGTGTTTGCTTAAGGTGCTTAATGTGAGGCCTATAATTAGTTTTTGACACACACAAAACAAACTTGCCACTGTTTTATTAAGAATAGTTATTTATTGCATCCCTTGTGCTGTATTCATTTGGAAGTCTTGTTTACCTACTGCTGTTCCTCACTATGGGAGAGAGAATCCAAAATCTATTCTCATCCCAAGCAGGAAAATTCATGAATGGTGCCTGCTATGGCCTTTCTTACTGTGGATTTCCCCCAGCTTTTAAAAAATAATTTTCAGCAGTACCATGCCTCTGGATAAATATCTTAAAGGTTCGAAGAGCTGAAATGGAGACAACAAGGTTAGAGTGGGTCTCTCTGTGTCACTGAAGTACTAATTTTCTTGAGATAGGGTACTGCATATGTGGGGATGATTTGGGAGAAGTATATGCTGCCTTGTGTAGGTATGGAGACCAGGTAGCAGCTTAGGAGTTGAACTTAAACGTCTCAAAGTCTTCTGTCAGCTGAAGTCTGTTCTTTGATTATGCTTATAATTTTTTGTTTTCCTTCAAAACAATAGAAAAAGAGATAGGAGCATACTAACTGTGTTTACTGAAATCTTTAAAATTAAAAAGCACTGTTGAAAGAGGAATCAGCGTGAAGTTGTATTGACCAAAGCATACCCAGATTCAAACATACTTAGTTTTCATAAACAGCATAGATAAGGAAACATCAAAAATTATTCAATATTTAATATTGCAGGCCAGATGGGATTGGAACGGTATCCATTGAAGAGAAAGAAAGATTTGAAGAAATTAAAGAGAGACTCTCCTCCCTTTTAGAAAATCAAATAAGCCATTTCAGGTGAGTGTATAATTTATTTGGCTAAGTTTTGGCCAGAAGCATTTTATCATGCTTGTGTTCAGTTTTGGAAGCTAAAAATATTTGCCTGCAAATAATTTTTAAGTGTATTAAATATAAGTATATTAAATGTGTCATAGCTAATTTTCATTGAGTTTAACGAATAGATTTTTGTTAGATGTTTTGTATAGATTTAATTAATATATCTTGTGAGATACATTCTGTCTGTGGTGTATATGATTGGTGAGAATATATTCTTGACTTTTGTTGAAGTCCTTTTGAACTCTGTAGTTCTCTGTAATGCTAACTGTGAGAATTGCCTGAGTGCAAATGACTGAGCCATACTGTTTTGTGGAGCAATGCTGATTAGAAATATCATATGATCTTGATACAGACATCTAATTTTTTTTCTAGATATCTAATGTCATTTGCTGTGTTTAATGCAAATGACATATTTATCCATTTATTGCAAATGACAATGCATAAAATACTATTTTATGCATTTATTTAATATTTATCCATTCTGAATGAGCTGTAGTCCTTTATCCTCAATAAAGGTTTGCATATCAATGTAAAAACTGCTCTTCCAGGTCAGCAATGGTCAGTAGAAGATGCTGAAGGAAGGAGTACAAGCAACAGAGCAGACTAGGGGTGATATTTCCTCTCCTTCCATTCCTTAGGAATGGTTTATGAATGTTTGTATAAAATTGACATGTAGACCAAGTCTGTTAGTTCATCACATATAACCAACCTTTCTATCATCACTCATTGACAAATCCTAAATGTTTCTGCAACATATTTATACTTTTGGTCTCTGTAACACCTTGTGACAAACAGTTCCAAAGTTGAAATAATGCTGTTGTGCTCATGCACGGTGTCTCTGCAATAAATTGCAATAGCCCCTACTCCACTGTGGGACTTCTACCTGTATCTCGATTTTAAAACTCATTGGGTGGTGAGAGCTTATTACATCATTTACATTGCAGGACATACTTGGTAGGAAGTCTTCGATTTGAAATATTAAATATAATCTAGAACTAATACTCAAAAATTGTTACTACATATTCATAGAAGTAAGCAGTGGGAAAAACTATTCAAGGAGAACTATTTCAAAGAAAGAAGGAGACAAAACTACTAAAACTGTGTGCTGTTGCAGGATGACTCAAAGCCTAAGAATCATTACATTTGCGTTGCGAATTTGTTAACACATCCTCAAGAGTTGACAGCACTACAGTAAGAAACAAAATGAGGAGCCACGTCTCTCTCTGGAAATCCTTTTTTGACCTCATTTACAGAGCTTTATGTTGGTTGAACAAAATATATTTCTAAAATTCAGAAGTCTAAATCCTTTTATCCATTAGAAATGTGAGTAATATTATAAAAAATAATCTTAGCAAAATAAAAAATCCCTTTTCCAATTGGGGATATCCCAGCAAGATTTTCAGGCAGGATTAGGAGAGGTTATGGTTGCTTGAGCTTTATAGACTCATTGAGATGATATACTGGATCATTCAGCAGACAAAAATTAAAAACAAAGCAATGAGTGAGATCGCTTTTTTATTTGCATAATGCTGTAGATTTGGTCGCAGAAGTGGGTTATTTTAATTCAGAGCTGATAAAAACTAACATAAAATTATTATTTCCCAAGTTTAATAGCTATATAGTAGGAAAAAAAATCTACAGTCATCTGTGTTTCAATATATCTACAGAAACTTAGATATCTGAATTTTTTTTCTGCTCTTAATCCAATATTAAAACAGGATATAACATAGGAAGTGTTCCTTTACTGCTTCAGTAGCTGTCATGCCACGTGAGAAATGGTACTTCTTTCCAAAAAGATGACAATTAAGCTCATTAAATATCCTTTATAACTGAGAAAGTGAAGGAATTGTCTTTGTCTTTCATATTTTTACATACTTAGAACTGAGCTGACGGTGGTCTGATATTGTTATTTTATGTATATGCCCCATGCTACCATGGAGCTACTCCTGAAGAGGCCTTCTGCGTCCATTAATGCATTCTATACAAAGTCTTTCATTACCCTAAATCAATGCAAGTAGTGTATTAAGTTACTTCTTACAGTAAATTCCTAAGTCAGATATTATAATTCTGATTATTTTATCTCCCTCTCTCTGTCTCTTTTTAAGGTACTGTTTCCCATTTGGACGTCCTGAAGGAGCTTTAAAAGCCACACTTTCATTACTTGAAAGAGTAAGTTTAAAAATATATTTGAAATTCTGCTTGAGTTCTAAGGCTGTGTTTTCTTTTGCATTTAGGCTACTGAGGAGACTTAATTCTTCTTGGACACTCTAATACTGGTTTCATTTACTGTTTGTTTGTTATTTTATTTCACTTTTTTTTCCATGATTTTTCCACAACCTTTTCCACAGGGCCAGGCAGCTCTTTCACATAGAAAATGAATATTGGAATTTTCACTTCCAGCCATTACAATGGTTGTGTTTCTTTATAGTTTAATAATTATGCAGCATTGTCTCTAATACATTTACTCTGCAGCCCTGCTTTACTGTTTTTTACAGCTTTGCTGCTGCTAAATGTTGTCTATAGTGATAGGAAACATTAAAAAGCTTCTATATAATCCAAATAATCCTCCTTGAATGCATAATCTAAATCAATTTAAGAAGAAAAAACTATAGCTGTATGCATGGACAGCTATAAATGTAAATACATGCCCAAGAAATTCTCCTGTATTGACTCCAGGGGAGAAGACAATGTAATGGTAAAAGCATGTCTGCTTTTGATCATCTTTGCTCAAAAATGTTTCTCTAAGGAAAGAGGAGTTATAAATTCCAGCAGGGAATCCAAAGGGAGCTCGAGGAAGGTATGAATTGGAACAAACCATGGATGCCACTTTGCGTAGCTCTGCCAAAATCTGAGTGGTGTGGTCTTGGGAAAGGATAGCCTGCACGTCACTCCAAGGATGGAGACGGTGTCTTAGAAAGCCTCCGGCATGGCATACACATAGCGGGAGTCTGAGTATTTCCTTTTGTATTTAATTTCAGTGATGATAGTGCTATGTAGTGCTGTTTTCTGCTCTGTGAAACACCCTTTCCCTCTCTCTGTTCCTGCTGTCACAGATGGTCAGCAGTAGCCTGGATCAGACAGGCAAACAAGCGACACCGCTCTTGTCTGGGGATACCTGTGCTTGCCTGGATTTGTGATGAAGAATGTGTTAGAGAGTTTTATTATACTTTATCTGCAGAATATCCAGAATGATAGTATTTCAATATTGTATTATCACTTGTCAATAACTCAGAAGCTACTCATAAAATAAATAAATAGAATAAAAGCATGTCTAGAAGAGGCCGGTACATTATACAGGGGTATGCAAGTAACAGAGCATGTCTAGTCTGCAGCAACCTTTCCCTAATAGGTTTCTTGCTGCTGAAACTGTTTCTTTTTCACAATTTTCTTCCCCGGACTGTACCTATAACTGTATTTTTTAAGTATATTGTCTTAAGGTATAGCTTATCTGAGGATCCATATTCACTGAGAAACAATTTTAAAAGCTTGTGAGTTGTCTGATTTTTTGTATTAAAATGTGGCAAAAACATAATGAATGCTCTTTACACCTGCCTGTTGAAAGTGAGTAAAGTAAAAATGATAGTGAAATATTAAGAATATTTATTCAGGTTCAGATTATTTTTAATGGTCATGTTCAGTATTAGTGTAGCTCAGAGTATATAAAATTGCATTCATATGAAGAGGATATATTTCCCAGTTTACCTCATTTGCTTGATTTTTCAAGCCAACCTGGTAATTAAATGCTACTCAGAGAAAAAAAAAATTAAAGGTTTAAGCCAGTTAGTTAACATATTTCAAACTTGATTTTTCAAGCCAACCTGGTAATTAGTTAACATATTTCAAATGTAAATCTTACATTTTCTTTGCTGACATGTAATTTATTTTTGAAGCTATTAAAAGCCTACATACCTGTTTAGTACTTTAAGTGATGACTTCATTAAGTTTTTGACAGGACTTCCTTTAATTGCAAAAAGGGCAAGAATTGAAATGACTCATTTTATCACAGTTGCATTTGAAAAACCAACAGTCTTTAAAAAGTTTCTACGAGCTGCTCCTCTAGCTGTCTATTTAAAATATTTAATGGGAAGTTCAGTCTATCCCTCTGTCTAAAACCGCTAATTATTTTTCACCAAAAGGATATGCTGAATTTAAATAACCTATGGAAGAAAAGCACTAAGTATAACCAGTTCTGGTGGTGTTCCTGTTTTCTGTTTTACACTGTTTGAGAATCAATGGTTATGAAGTGGTGGAAACTTTCCGACAGGTGAGAACCAAGCAAATTTTCATCTGTGCATCTTTAGCAGATCCAGCCCATCCAAGGAGTGCTCCTGTCCTCCTGGTCTGCGTGCTGCCCAGGCAGAGGGTGCTTGGCCTGCTGCAAGGTGCCCACCCGCAGGGGAGGTCTTGATTTGTATATGAGTACAATAAATGCAGTGAAATCAGAGCTGAATTCAAACCTTTGGAAATAAATATCCGGTTCATCCACGGCCGTTCTGTACTGAAAGGCTTCTGTTTTGGTTTTGGCCTTTAATCTTTATGAGAGCTAAAGTAATGTTAGGAAACTTCCATTGTTTCCTCTTGGGTTTTGAGTAATGAGTGTAACCAAGTGGTATAATTGTCTCTGCTACAGGTTTTAATGAAAGATATTGCCACCCCCATCCCAGCAGAAGAGGTGAAGAAAGTGGTTAGAAAATGTCTGGAGAAGGCTGCCTTGATCAATTACACGCGACTTACAGAATATGCCAAAATAGAAGGTTAGTATAGCAGTCAGCTGCCAAAGTGGCTGTAAAAGCCAACAGTGCCTATTAACTGAATATTCTGCAAGCAGCCTTTTCCCTTTCCTGAACAAACCCCTTCCACAGCAAGGGGAAATGTCTCATTAAAATCTCAGCTGGTGAACTATGGAGCTTTTTCCTATTCATTGCTTTAATATGCCTCCTGGGACCCTGTTTGAATGGAAGACCAGGACTTCTTAATTTAAGTTGCCCTTTGTTCTTACTTTTGAGTTTTACATAAATCTAAAAGGTTGTTTATGGATTATTTTATTTCTCTAAGTATTTTTGATAATTAAACTACTGGCAGGATTTTCCTTCTCTATGAGCAGTAACAGTACCTTGGAACTTGAAAACTAGGAGTATAGACGCCTTTCAGATGTATTTCTAAGGCAGATAGATAAGGGTAGTTTAATTTTGCTGTTGTGTTTTCAGTGGTATAAAGATAATCTGATTACTAGTACTCTAATTGCATGCTGAATTACTGAATGCACTAACAGAATAAAATATGAGATCTAATTGTGGTCAGCGCTTTTTTACTGAAAAGTGTGTGTTCTAGTACATGTACAGAAAAGCTAAGTGAAATTTTATTCAAAAAGAACAGCTTGGGGATACATAGACTTATTTTAATACTTGTAACACATATGTAGAACAAAAAGGAAGTCAAAACAGTGGAATAACTTTCTAAAACACATCTATAATTCTACATAAAGCACAGAAAGCTTGAGATTTACCTGTAAAGATATATGCAGGAATAGAAAAAAAAAGTATGTTCATATTTATATACTTATTTTTCTAGATAGAATGGTTTAACAGGAAAAGAAATTAATGATGACAGTAAAAATCATTCTATGCATAGCATCTTTTTGTAATGTGTATTTCTGGTAGTACTCTCTAAGTAAATAGAGTTATCATATGAGCAAAATGAGGAAGGCTCATATTTAGTAGTATTATAAGGCCAACTCAATTTTTCCCTTTCTGCTCAAACTCTCTGAAAAACATGAGTTAACCAACCTCACAAGTGATTAACAAAAAACCCATCTCATCGCCATAGCAACCAGTATTATATCATGGGAGTAACAACATGAAACCATCTCAGTAACCAGTTTACCTTAATTAATTATGATATCATGTTGTGTTAAAGAAAGGAGGATGCATATTAAATCTATTTTGGAAAATGAAAAAGCAGAAGTACCATTTCTCTTAGATTTTATCTTTTTTATTCATAAAAGGATTTTTTGTTGTTCAGTAGTTTAGTTTTTTAACAACCTTGTTGAAATAATCAATTTAAAAGTAGAAACCTTTTAAAGAGATCACAAAAACATGCACAAGATATATAAAATCTTTGATAGTAAATTGGATTGTGTAAAAGTTTTTCACAATGAAGAATATATGTCTTTGCTCAAGAATTCTAATTGTATCCTAGAGATTTGTCACAGTTCAACTGTGAGTACCAAATACCACACTTTAAAACATACGTATTGTTAGCACTAAACTAAGCTGGAACCATGTAAAAGTGCATGTATCCCATGGCACATTTTGACTGATACGAACTTCTTCTTTTGGTTCATACACAACTAAATTTCTTTATGTATGCTCATGTAACAGTTAGCCCAAAGTATAACAGTCAATTGACTTAGGCATGTGAATATTCCTCAAGGAGAAATAGGTAGAGTCGTTTTTGAGATTAAAATCCTATTTGAAAATGAAGCATCATAATATCAAAAAATTAAGTATGTTGGGTTTTAGTAGGAAGGAGTAAATCTACCTCTAGAACCTCTTTCAATACTGAGGTCTTTATTAGGTATCATATATTTTTAGCATTGCAGGAAAAAAGTACAAGCTTTCAGCAGCAGCTCAGATCTGTTTCTTTAGGTTCATGAGAACATTTTACTGTCCTATGCACCACAATGGTGTTTTTCTCTTGCCAGTAATTAGTATAAATCTTTGTTTTGCTTGCTTGCACCTTATATAGCATACAGAAAATATATAGCCATTATACTTAGAAAATACCTGGTGTCTTCAAATGTAGTTGCTATTTGAATTCTTGCCCTAGTCTTTGTTGATTAGAATGATATTAAAAGGTCCCTTAGTCAGTCAGATGAATCTTGTGTGACAGTATCTGCTATAGAATAATAATAACTATGTACAGAGTAGAGCTGCAAAGATAGTTTTAACAAAATAATATTATTATATTCTTACTCTATTATTTATGTCCCTAAATTTCTAGGCATAAAATGAATAAAAATTCAGCCAATGAATATACATACATACATACATATTACTCAAAATATAGTCTGTATAAATGCTACATAAAAACACACACTATTACCCCTCATTTGACAAATGCCATCAGTTGGATGAGCTGTCAGCATTCCTGTTGCTATACTCACAAGTTTAAGGAGATTAAGCACTGAAAATTTGTATCTGATGTGTATTCTACTCTGATAAAATTAAAATAACCATCTTACATTTCTGCAATAATCGTTTTCTTCTTTTTTGTTTTACCTTTAGCTACAGCAGAGAAGGATTCAGGTGATTACTATCTGTGTGCATGTCTGCATGTATTAGAGATTGTGCTGTTGTGTCCATTGTTTTGTTACATTTGTTGATTTCAACAATATGAATATATTGACAAGAACATAGATAAACACAATAATTAGTTATGATGTAGTATGGTCCGTTGCATCGAAGTAGCATTGGCATTTATTTAGTTAGTTATTTATTGGTAATATATTTATTTCTTTACTATTTACTGCTTTACTAATAAATACATAGATAGATAGATAGATAGAGCATATTTGTAGTAATTTAGATAATTTATTTATCCAGTGAATTTTGGATTGTGGTCCAGTTATGTTTTCTCTAATAGAAGAGTAGCTAGATAATGCAGAAATGTTTATTTCTCTAATAGAAGGGTAGCTAAATAATGCAGAAATGTTTAGCTTTCAAGTACAAAATCAGATGGTGTGTTTAGAGATAGTTAACTTCATAGTATTCAACAAAAAGAATAGTATATGTTTCTTAACAGAACTAAGGGATTTATTGATGAAGATCTTGACAGATTCTTGACAGAGAGTTCTCTTGACAGAGAACTAATTTGGTGAGGCTGGTTTACATGTCAGTGATGTCTTTGTTTAGTGTTATGTTTGCTTTTCTAGTCACAGCTGAGATTTGGGAGGGTGGTGTTTGCTTGTGTTCCTAATTTCACAAAGCTGTTATGGCACATATTCTTCAGTAGAGCTGCGGCTCATTTGAGTGCTTATATACAAATAATTAACAGAGTGATCACAAAAAGAGCATTGTCAATGTGGTATTTGTGATTGAATTACATTCTACTGTAAATGGGTCTATGCACATACGTGCTTTTAGAAATGCACACACTACTCGGTTGAAGCTTTCTAATGATGTGTCCACACGCAGGCCATAGAAGCCTGGCCTTGGTGCTTCGTGGGGTTCCCACA